TTTACCGGAAATTCGTTGTTGACACACCATTCTTGACTATTTATTTTAATTGTCCTTAAATCTGAAACAATCATTTGTATACCCTATTCGTTAATAAAGCTTCATATCATGTTCAAATAGCAAACAGTGAACATCAAGGTTAACCACGACATCATTAATAAAAAATGAGAGAAAATCCGGCATTTAATCCTGAGGAACTCCAGAAGTCGTCGAGATTTCAATGGATTTCAGTCCATTCAATTCTAAAACTACAAATTAATAATATACAGAACAACAGCTGTAAAAAGTGTAAACGTGGAAAATGCTCAGGAGAGTAAAGTGTGTAGCTAGAGAGGGGCACTAATTTATGAGTATCAATTTCTTTTATATATTTCAATGAAGCAATGTTATTAGAGCAATTAAATTAATGAAATGAATCATAGAGTGAATGGTAACTGTTATATAATACTATTTTATCTATATAAAAAAAAACTTTAATAAAATAAAAAGAATATAAATTTGCAATTTCTTCATTAACAAGTGAAATTTTATAGCTTTCTCCTTTTAACAAAATTAAAAGCATTTCAACAAAAAACGTAAAAGTACTTTTCGTATGTATTTAACACCAAACAGTATGTATTAACTATAATATCGACAGGTCACGTTAATCAATTTCAAACAGTTTTATTCCTCTTCAACCACTCTACTGAAGTTTAGAGATTTTTAATTGACAGACCATTCATGCAATATTGGTTGCCTACTACTATCGACTGTCACGTCTCTGAAGATTTTTTTTATTCGAAAACATAAAAAATATTGCAATTCATTATATCCTTTATATTCTTTTGCTAACTGCATCGACTTTAATTGACAATACTAAACATACACAGTAATATTAATATTTTTTTGTTTTTTCAATAATAGAAGATAAATGTCTTAATAAATAGAAACAATAAATCTAAGCAACTTCCTAACAACATTAACGATTGCATCCTAATAAAACCTTGCTTGTGGTATACATTAAAGAATAATAAAATTCTGAAATTAAAGTACTTTTCACGAATAAATAATAAAACATTTCTGTAGTCTGGCCTCTTTTATTACCTTGTAAGGATAGTAATTAACTGTAGGAGAACAAATTTAATGTTCACCATATTAAATGAGCTTGAAATGGTATTAGTGTCCTAAATCTGCGAAAATGAAAAATTATTGTAGCGTTCTGTTACAAAATTAAATGACAGTCGACATTTTGTAGTATATTAATAAAATTAAGAGAAGTAATGTTAATAATAATTAATTAATTCTACTATCGAAATCATTATAAAAGGCAATTTCTTTTATGAAAACCTGCGAACCTGTAAACAAATGAAAAATAAACTATCACATTTCAATTTTTAACTTTTAAATTCTTTTGTGATGCGTATTGCTGTGTTCTTTGATCTTTCATTGTTTGTCTCATTTATCAGTGCCAGTGTCGGTGCTTTAGGCAAAAATATTTCCATTGAAACCATCCTTTTTATTTGTTGGCGTAAAAGTTGGTTTAATTCAAGGTTTAATTAGTTATTGAATTTTTACAAATTGCAGAATGTTGAGCTAGGCAGAGTACGCCAGGAATAATTAATTTCAATAAATAGATTTGTTTAAAACAGAATATTTAGTGAATAATAAATCATTAAATTTTTAGGTGCGCTATTAAATTTTAAGTTGATAGTGTATTATGATGTATGGAGGTAATGATGTCAAAGAAATTGCTAAGAAATAGGATTTTTGGAATTTACAAATTTAATTGGTAAAATGTAAATTTTTACGCTGAGATTAATAGAAGTCTGGGTGAAGAGGGCGAAGTTAATTTAATTTTAAATTGCTATGTAAAAAGTTACACTTCTTTTCTTTTATGAGACCTCCGGTCCTATATTCCTTTTACAACGAAAACTAATCAATTTTATTAGAATTCGAATTCGCTCACACCGACGAAAAAGATGTGACAAATATATTTAAAAACAAAATATGATAGCAATAAAAAACAAAACATTAATTATTATTCTTTCTTGAATTGTGAAGGGAATATTACTTCTGTCTAGCTTTTTTTATTTTAGAAAAGTTTTGTTTCAAATATAATTGGATTTGAGTCTTGCAAAACAAAATTAATTTCAGTTGCAAAAAGTTACTAAAAGCCAATATTCCAAAGATTTCAAACACTTTACTTGTCACATAATATGATTCAAATCTGTTGTGGATTTAATATAATATTGAAAATATCAGCATTGATAATTTTTTTCAGTATTAACTGTAGGTGCATATAAACTTATTGAATTTAACTTGAAGGGACTTTCGATGGGATTTTATTAATTGATATGTAGTGCAAAGTGAGGAGTTATTTCTTTATTTAAGCATCTACCGTTATGATCAGTATCATAATGATATTAACTTGCAAAAGAGTTTACCTTTTACTTCTCGAAAGGGAGTTTATAATTATCATCAACATTTTAATTAATACGTGGGAACTTAGAAATGTTGTACGTTCAGAGAATGCATTTTAGACACTTACCGTACGACGCTCACGAAGAGTATAATCCAGGTGTTGGTTGTACAGGGTGTTCTACTCTCGTTCGATGGACACTTAATTTGGAAGAGCAAAAAAAACACCAAAACTTCAAGGAAGGTTTTTAATAACAATAAAACAAAACAAACAGAATAACGAAGATACAACGGATTCGAACAAGCATTATTAATTAATATACACGTCACAACGCAATCCGAGATTCAGGGAACCCAACGCGAATTCTTAGTAAAATTTGGAAAGATTCATTAATAAATTAACCCGAGACTCTAAAATTAAGTAAGTGTGGAATCCAAGGAGAAACTTCTTATCTTATTGGCTGGATTCCTGAATATCGGAGGTTGAAATGGCTTAATTATACCGTGTTAATACTTAATTGACCGAATTTACAATTATATGGATAATTTTGTGACTAAACTGAACTTACAAGTAACCCTACACCTTTCTCTTGTGACTCCGTATAGTAAGACGGGACGGATTAGTCGATCTCATTTGATCTATTCTTATAGCTTGGAAAATCTGCCTAAAAACCAGCTATTTCATCTATTATTATTTTACTCACAACATGCTAACAACTTATTTACCTAAATATCTTGGAATTTCTACGTCTTTTCGAATGTATTTCGCGCGTTATTAGAAATATCTATTTTTCCCTTCACCATGGGCTAAACCGACGTAGTTAGTCGATACCAGATGCCCACATGCCCCCGGCGATCTAAGTCTAGAGGAGAAGGTCCGAATATGGGCCCCTATTTTGTTTTTTTATAGATTATTAACAAATTTTTGACAAATACACCTAAAAATTGGGACACACTTAGTCCAAGAACTTGTCTACAATAATGAGCGTGGCAATGTTCCGGAAAGATAAAAAATACTGATATCAGTTAAAATATAAAAATTGAACAATATCTTGTATGAGGGTAGAGTGTATGAAATATGGGCCCCTATCAAAAATGATGCATAAGTTTACGTTTATCAAAGGAAACTTTATTTTCTAGTAAAAAACTTCATATATGATTATACAAAGGAGTAATGACAACAGAAATTAGAAAGAAAGAAATTATTTGCAAAAGTCACAAATGTAATTTTTTTGTTATTTACACTATCCATAGCCTTTATCATGTATTCGGAGTTCCATTGTTTCCTTAAATTCTTTGGTAAAAACTTTGGTTTGTTACGTGGCATGGTCAACCTGGAAAAAGAACTGAATTCAAAATCAGGGGAGAATATAAGCCCTGGCCCATATTCGGACCCACAAAAGGCCCATATTACCAGCATTGCATGCCATTCAACAATATTTACTTATTATTTGTAGAGTTTAAGCGAATCAAAATATTTTCTGAACGAAACAAACTGATCTTTATACAAAATATCTAGGTGAATATACAAACATACCTAGTCACTAAAAATCGTATAAAACAATAACAACTTACCTTCAGATAATATTCAGAATTCCAGTAACACATTCACCACCACCTGTTTCTAACAATATAAGAAATCAACTGCACAATGTCGGTAAAACAGTTCGCTACTAGGTAGCTGTCTTTTAAAGTATTATTCAGTGATGTCGCTAGATGTTCTAGTAGGAATAGCCATGGGGCCCATATGAAGTGCATGACCCATATTCGGACCTTCTCCTCTACTTGTTCAAAATTATTGCTAAATTTCATGAGGCCTTCTCCGAAAGACTGCGATGGTCGAGCTTTGCAAATTTATTACTCCCGGTGACAAGGGGCACCAGTTTCTCAACGACTTTATGGCGACGCTAAACCTACTTGAAAATCTTTAACTTTTCAGTAATTATTGTTCACTGAGTTGTCCCATCCGTTCCGAGAAAGAACAAATAATCTATAACAAGTCCCGGCTTTTGTTACAGTAGGTACACTCCTAACTTTGCTATGTAACACTTCTAGAGAAGTTTTTAAACAAATTCGTTTTATTTTCTAAACAGTCTTATGAAACGAATTACAATACAATATTTTAGAAACAAATTTGAATTGGTTAGGTTAGGTTAGGTTGCTTAATATATTTAAAATCCTTAGGGTTATAAGAAACATTCCTTACTTTAGAAAAATATCGTGCAAACTAAACTTAAAAAAAGATCTAAGATACGTTTGTTCCAAATTGAATGTTTAAAACGTTTGAGCATTAAAGAAAAAGTCAGTAATGTACAGAATACTAAGCAATTTTCGTTTACAAATTCCCTTACCTTCGCAGTGACGTTTTATCAGTGGGTAAAGGTAAAATATTGTTTATTTACTACCATACCTGTAATTTTGACATTAGTAATGTCATTGAAGGTTTGAAAGTGTCACATTACCTACGTCTACTTCCCTCTTCCATTTTCCTCACCCATTTCCCTCACTCATTTCCCTCACTCGTTCAATAAAGCAAAATATTTATTTAAGTAATATATTTGTTGAACAAATTCTTATATAGAAACAACAGGGCAATTAATTAACAACAATAACATTTAAATAATTTATCATATATTATTTATTAAAATTAATGGTAATATTTGACTTATTATAGGATTTAACCGAAATATTTAAGAGACCTCCCTGATGATTTGAAATTTCATTACTAGAAAATGTTATTTCATGTCCACTGTCAGATCCCGTGAAGTTAACAGCAGGAGGTAGAGCGTTTGAACTGGTACAGGAGGACGATGGCAAAGTTGTTGAGGATATCATATTTGCGGTTTTAATTTGGTTAGCTACAGATTCATCCACATAACTTTCTGCAACTGTACTAGACCGCCAGCCCCCTAAGCGCTTCAACTGAAGAATATCTGCTCCGCTATTAACCAGCAACGTAGCTGCCGTTCTTCTAAAAGCATGACCTGTGTACGTTTCTGCCTTAGGAAGTTTTAAAAAGCAGGCTATTTTATAAGGAAATTTAGAGATAGAATTGTATCCAAAAGGCTGATTTCGAGCTCTTCCCGATCGATATTGAACAAAAAATCTCTCATTTTTTATATCTTTCCGTACCTGGATAAATTCTTTCACAATTTTTATCCAGTTTATTTCAGTGATCATGAATGATCTACTTTTATAAGTTTTTGTATCCGGAATTTCAATAGAAATTTTCTTTTCTAATATATCAATATGCGTAGTTTTCATTTTTAATAATTCATCAGTGCGGCATGCTCCAGATACACCTATTATAAGCGCAACCTAAAATAATTATAAAAAATAATTAAAACCAAATAGAAACAATTAAAAAGAAAATTTTACCTTGATAGGAAGGAATTCTTGGGGTGCTTTGCTTAGAAAATCTTCTATATTTTGTCTGGTAAAGGTAGTAGATTTCTTGGGCCTAAAGCCTATATTCTGGCGTTTCAAAAAAGCAAGGAGCTTGTTATATTTAGATATATCAATCTTCTCTCGTAAATCTAGCATGGCCCGTAACATGCTGTAGATAGCCCAAAGAGTAGAGGGCTTTTTTTGCTTTGCCATGTCACTAAAATATGCCATCAAGACTGTTTCTGAAGCAATATTCTTAGTATTTTTTTCTAAACACCAATTTTCGTAAACCTTGAAGGCTTTTTCGTAACGCCCCCTGCTTTTTTTAGGAAGTAAACTTTGTTCTGCTTTTTCAGCAGCTTGTTTTAGTTCTGGTGGAGTTCCGTCTGGCAAATAATCTTCACTCTCGCTATCTGACAACATTTTTTCAGCCGCAAATTTGAAGGATCGAACGAGAATTCAAAATTGTTTGTATCTGTCATGCGTCGTTGCTAGGCATGGCCCTGCCACCTGTACATGTTTGTTCAACGCAACCTGCACAATTTTGAATGGTGTCAAAACAATAAAATGACGCATATTTTGGCATTTTTACTACATTTAAAAATATGAAATAGAATTTTCAACTAACGATGTGGTTGTAAATAAAATAGTATACATACCTCGCAGGGAAGTTTTCATTAATATCTCGAGATTATAGTTAATCTCGACGCTTCGCGACTCGATTAACTAACTAATCTCTCGACAGTAATGAAACACTTCCCTCATCGGTATGTAATATACTATTGTTGTACCAAAATACCATCACCTCCCCTCCACACCCGTAGAACCTTCACAGTACCGTGAAGTTTTGTTGAGACAGGTCAAATATTTTATTAGTTGTAAAGGATAAATTCAATCCACCCACAAACTTTGTGGGGGAGGCTATATCTAGACAAAAATAAGCTTTCTTATTAGTAACATCTAGTAATTTTATTGGTGATACCCGCCATAAACAATCGTCGACGCGATGGGAGTTCATGCATGTTTTTATAGAATTGATTGTCTGCCTCTGCCAAATGTAAACTTTGAAACATTGAGTGAAACTTTGTAGACTTGATTAGAGTTTAATTCATTTTAGAGAGAAAGTAAAATACTTTGTACCTCATACAGAATAAATTCTGTTTGTTAATAGTTGGGAGATTAAAAGGATACGAAAAGGTATCGAAATTGGGAAACTTTTGATACGTATTGCGAAATCAGTAGGTATTTGAGACAGTAAAAAGCTCGTTGGTATTTAACATATCTGCATATGTTTGTTATTCATATTTTGTTTTTGATACGTGGCTTCGGAAGTATATTTTCCGTACAATTCATGCAGCTGTTTACACAAACTTTTATTCAACTTAATATGTCGCGAAATCTTTTCCTGGAAGTTCAATTATATATTTTATTTATCGTGTAAGCTCAGCTTGACCCCAGGGAACGTGTGGAGATGCTAGCTTCTGGAAGTTCCAGTTACGTTACTAATACCGTTCCATAATTCATATCTGACGATCTTTTCTTCTATTGCTGGGTATTTTACAAGGATGCACTCATTTACGTGCTTGTACAGAACACATTTTTATAAACAATATTAACGTATCGTAGTATAAACAAATATTTCCAACTTTTAATTTATTTACTTTTTACAGTTAAATATTAATTTATTTTATTATTTGCTATCGTTTGTTTACTTCATTTTAAATGTATTAAACTAATTCAAACAAATTAAAAAATATTAAAAAAATAAATCAAAATCCAATTGTTACCAAAAATCTAGATACGTAAAAGGTATTGTGTCCTAGTGCAAGTCCCGAGCGTAATTCGAATGTTCACCCATGTTTCCAAAACCATTTAAGAAACCTTCCAAAAGTTATTCACGGGACACATATTCCGAGAAAATTACAAAACCATAGACAAGAGATCCCAGAAACTTACGACGCTTTTGAAATTTGTTCAAAATTTCCCTATGAAGCCCTGATTGTTGCCAAGCATATCAACCGTAGCAGAGGACGCTACCGATCATTGAGACGCAATAAATCCTCTATCCATTGACCACTCAATCCCAAAAAATGCCATAACCCCAAAATCCCAGAACTCGATAAAAAAGAGACTTATGCGCGTTGAAACCATGGTTTCATGAAACACAGTATGTTCAAGCACTTTAAAGCAGTTTTTGAACCTTAAACCTACACCAACGAGTATAGACCTCTTATAGAAGAACTCTCAGGGTTGGAAATCGGGGACGAAATCTTGGGGGACGTGTTATAGTATGTTTTAGGTTTCTCCTATGTAATCTTGGGGGACAGTCTAGTATAGGCTGTACGTGCATTTCAATTTCGTCCCTGACTTGTAACCTATGAGTGTTCTTCTATAAGATATATTCGTTACCTATACTTTTTAATAACCCCATAACCTCATAACGCAGTAAAGAATAGCCTAACATACAAACTCTTTTGATTCAAATCTTCGGACATCACTGCTATTCGTGTCAGGCAAGGGGAACACACTTTCAAAAAGCACCCGGAAAAGTGAGAGGCAAGGGGACCTCATTTTAATAAAGCACCCCGAAAAGTATGAGGCAAGGGGAACACACGATAATAAAGCACCCCAAAGGAAGCAGAAGCCTACTACATCGTCGTCATTGTTCCTGAGTTCGGCAAAATGTGGGTTCTCCCAACGAAAGTCCCGTTCTCACCGGGTTATGGGGTTTCGGAGTTATAGGATTATTGAAGAATGTGGGTTTACGGCTCAAGAAGCATGCATGGCTCGAACATACTATGTTTCAGTGCTTCACCGCGCATCAATCTCTTTCTTACCGAGTACTGAGATTTTGGGGTTATGGCATTTTGAGGTTATGGGGTTAAGGGGTTTAAGGGATTAAGGGGTTATGGGGTTACTGGGATGGAGTGATCAATGGACAGAAGATTTATTGCGTTTTTGGGCCTATTTCTTGAGGTTATAAAAAACCTGACGTGATGGGGTTTGGATTCAGTGACCTCGAAAACATACGATAATGATGTAATTTTCTCGATTTTCTTTTTTGGAGCTGTGTAACCTTTTTAGATGGTCAGCAAATAATTTTTATAAAACTGTATATAACCGGCCATGATCATAGCTCTAGTAGTCCATATCGCCCAGGAGTTTCTCAAGCTGCGACAAAACTTCTGAGGGATATAAACTCTTAAAGGTTCCATACCAGGTACTCAATGGAGACCCCACATTACAAGCTGTTAAAGCTTCCTTCTCAGGTATTCTCAACAGACCGTATAAACATTTAGTGCTCAGAAATAGCTAAAGAGGGGCACGAAAGTAACATACTGGCAGTACCAACAAACCTTTGTGCAAAAGTGCAGAAGAAAGTTGAAAGCCTAAAAAACAATAGCATTCCGAAGTTATATAAGTGTGTTCTAGACCATAACAATAGAGCAACGATCATTATCCCAAGGCCAAGCACCTCTTCATCAAAATTATTAATAGAAAAAACGCACCTGACGTATTGAAATTGCTAAATAATGTAATCTTTGAAAGAAATGTATTATTTCCTGTTGCTTTAACATCACCTTTGACAAAGACACAATAAGGAGATATTACCCTTTCTACATTTTGCTTAGGATTGCATTTCAAGTACAGTCCTTACAAATGGAATCAATATAATGCTTTATTGCTTATGCTTTATTTATGTTCTATTAATANGCTTCACCGCGCATAAATCTCTTTCTTACCGAGTACTGAGATTTTGAGGTTATGGCATTTTGAGGTTATGGGGTTAAGGGGTTTAAGGGATTAAGGGGTTATGGGGTTACTGGGATGGAGTGATCAATGGACAGAAGATTTATTGCGTTTTTGGGCCTATTTCTTGAGGTTATAAAAAACCTGACGTGATGGGGTTTGGATTCAGTGACCTCGAAAACATACGATAATGATGTAATTTTCTCGATTTTTTTTGTGGAGCTGTGTAACCGTTTTTAGATGGTCAGCAAATAATTCTCTAGTAGTCCATATCGCCCAGGAGTTTCTCAAGCTGCGACAAAACTTCTGAGGGATATAAACTCTTAAAGGTTCCATACCAGGTACTCAATGGAGACCCCACATTACAAGCTGTTAAAGCTTCCTTCTCAGGTATTCTCAACAGACCGTATAAACATTTAGTGTTCAGAAAAAGCTAAAGAGGGGCACGAAAGTAACATACTGGCAGTACCAACAAACCTTTGTGCAAAAGTGCAGAAGAAAGTTGAAAGCCTAAAAAACAATAGCATTCCCAAGTTATATAAGTGTGTTCTAGACCATAACAATAGAGCAACGATCATTATCCCAAGGCCAAGCACCTCTTCATCAAAATTATTAATAGAAAAAACGCACCTGACGTATTGAAATTGCTAAATAATGTAATCTTTCAAAGAAATGTATTATTTCCTGTTGCTTTAACATCACCTTTGACAAAGACACAATAAGGAAATATTACCCTTTCTACATTTTGCTTAGGATTGCATTTCAAGTACAGTCCTTACAAATGGAATCAATATAATGCTTTATTGCTTATGCTTTATTTATGTTCTATTAATATTGACTTATTCCATTTGTGACGACACTTGAAAAACATTTCTAAATAAAATGTAGAAATGGTAAGATCTTTCTATCTTGATTATCTTAAGTCAGATTCTATTTCTAGAAATTTCACAATACTTGTGATCAGATTCCGTTGCACAAAGAAATGACAAATCAAAGATAATTATATTGTCGTAGAAAATCAGCTTTTACATGGACGGTGGTTCAAAATTGTTAATTTTTAGTTTTCCTGAAGCTAGTTTTTTTAGATCAACCGAAATAATCTAGTTATCTACAACTGGAAATCCCGATATAATAAACCATATTTGTTTCATTGAGTTCCTTAATATTTTTCAATATAACTTGATTTTTAAAAAAAGGATTTCTTAAAATAACAAATCAATATAACACACAGTATGAAACAAGGTGTTGCAGATAATCATGTTTATTTAATTTCTTAGTTTTCAAGGAAACATACGCCTCTATGATTTCGTAAATTATTTTGATCCTGTATATCTGTTTTTTAAATATATTTCACTGTCGTACTTTCCATATTCACTTTAACATCTCAATTTTTTGTATGTTTACGACATCAACTTTCATCACCTCTTAAAACGTTGCTGAAAAATTCATAATCCATTTAATGAAATTCGCTAATCGATATGGATTGAACGGCTAACAAATATGTAACTCATTCACAGCTGTTGCAGAAAGCGAAATTACATTATGTATGATCCGTTACCCACATAGCTCAGAAAATCAGAGCCTTTGCTGGAAATTAAATGGAATAAATCTAATCAATATGATTATTATCCTCATATGAATAGTTTACTTCGAACACTAAAATTTATGGATTATGAAAGAAAAAATATATAGCTAACAGACAAAGGAATTGGAAATAGAAAAGTTGGGTATCACATCTGTTTTATTTCCTAGACTCACATAAAACTTTCCTTCCGGTAAGATGATAATGGAAGGAGATATCTGAAATTATATAAAATATAGATAAAAATATGTAGTTGAT